GGGGCAAGTGAAGGCGAGGAGTCCCGAGGCATCAGGCAAAGGTTTTCATATTAGTGCAATGAAACCAAGACCAGCAGGACGGGGGTCATCACGGAGCCCACGACAGCATCACCACCAGAGTCTTTGGCAGACGAAGACCACCTTTTGTCAGAATAGCTTATACTAGTTGTCCCCCTTCAAATTCATCATTGTGGGATCCCTTCCCGCCTAACAATCCCGAGCCCAGGGGTGTGCGGCCGGTGCGGCCGCACAGGGCCTCCAGGTGGAAGGGGCCCCCAAATTAGTAGCACATCAGGCCTAGTCAAACCAGCAGGCCGAAAAGCCCTGATAGTGTCCCGAGCGTATGTCGCTAATCCATAGCTTATGAGAATAACCATCGTTCACACTAACCCTAACAACGCCGCAGCTGGTCGACAGATGCAACCTGGCGATGCAACAGAGGAACGGCGGCCGCCGGCATCGGCAGCGCCCGCAACGCTGGCAACAACAACCAGCAGGTAAATAGGGCAGGCACATGGTTGTATTCCAGCGATGCACTAAATCCACTTAGTCAAATTAACTAATCAACATCACTGCATCCTTCAGAACAAGTGCTATCTCGCTTGTTGTTACTTTTCCTCTTTTGTTGGATGAAGCGAGATGGACTGAAGGAGAGACGAGGGACAGTTTGACAAGGTCAAGTTTGACGTCCGTGAGTTCATCGGTCCCAGTTTTTTACAAATAGTTTGCTGGTAAATGTTGGATGTATATCCCTTTAGTCTTGTTTTCCCATCATTTATACTCTTTTATATTAATTGGTGTAGAAGTCATGTGTTTCAAGATTCAAGTTATGTCCTCGAAAAATCTATCTAAAATATATGAATCTGGTTACAAGAAATATAATATTTTTTAGAAAAATTTAGAGGATTTAATTCAACATCATAAAGGACTTATCCGTAACTTGAATATACATTAGTTTTATTTTTATAAGAAAGTAGGCCTCAGTTTAGTGTTTGGCACAGGGCCCCGAATTTTGCCGGCTCGACCCTGCCGCCTAATATTTGGGGAGAGGATCCGGACCTCTATATATAGGACTAGCCACCATCGTAGCTAGAGGGGAGGTCCAATCTGGAGATGATCCAATCTAGACAGGAACCAGACCATCCACACACACACAAGCTCACCGAGCTCAAGAACACCTCTCCTTAGGAGGCTGTTCTTCCCTTGTACTTGTTCATCCCCAGCCTACAAGGCAATCCACCACACCACACTGGAGTAAGGTATTACACCACAACGGTGGCCCAAACCAGTATAAACTCTTGTGTCTCCTGTGTCTCTTGTTTTTTGGGTTCAACGAGCTAGGCTTTAAGATCGTAGTGAGAGTGTGAGTTAGGGGGAAAGAGATCTTCGTGCGCACCCCAGTGTTCGAATCTCAAGGTTATTGCTGGAACCTGTAATCCAACATCGATGGATCAAGGATGATATATGATGACGATGACGCTTGTGTGCAGCCATGGCAGTTGATGTCTTCCTAGTTAGGTGTGGAGTCTAATTGGTATCCAGTTTGGCCGTTGCCTGTGTATTGTCATGTTCCATGATGGTTGTCTATTGGGCATGTTGTTACGGGTTTTGCTCAATTATTTTTAAATTAATCAGACATTTTTTCTTTTTAATTAATGAAAATGTTAAATATTTTGCCTTAGTTTAGTAATAAAGTAGTGCAAACCAAAGTAACTATCATGTAGTTCGGGGAATGACGCCAACAAAACATTTGCAAAAAAAACCAGCTGAATTGGCCTCACTGCCGATCGACGCGGCTAGCCGAGCTAGGCAGGCCGAAAACTAGGAGCGCCCACACAAACATGAGACAATTTCTTATTTGTTCCTTTCTTAAAATATGTTTCCCTTTTTGGCCCAAATTTTTTTCATCACAACTTCATTTTCTTCCTTTAATGACACTTTCATATTTTTCTATTAACACCATGAAATGCGAGATGAAAATTCCTATTTACCAGTGATTTAGCATGCGTGTGTGTGAACCTTCCCACAAATTCACTCCCCTATTCTCTCCCTGACTCACTGCGAGATGCTAGCCCTAACCCTACGATGGCGGCGGAGGGGCACACAGCGGCGCCGGCACGAGGCTGGGAGGGCGGTGTGTGAGGAGGGTCTGGCCGAAGTACTTACGGATGGCAGGGCGGAAGGCGCGGTGGAGGAGGGCCATGGCGCTGCACCGGTCTCGGCCTCGGGCGACCATGGTGGGGCGGCGGAGGGGGCATGGTGGGGCGACGGCTACAACGCGACTGCCAAGGGGTGGGGCGGCGACTACACTTTGGCTGACGCTACTGCAGGATCGGTAATTAAGGGCTGAGCTGGGTGCTCGGCCTCGACTACATCGGCGACGTGGCTAGAAGGGTGAGTCCTCTCTTCTCTAGATTTCTCCAAATACATATTACTTTGAGTCCATTCATCATTGGCTATTCAATTGTGCAATAAATAAATTAATCAACCTTGATTGAGATATGAGATCCCTCAATTGTGTGATTGTATTCTTAGAGATGAATATTTGCTGCCAGATCTGCAATGGAAAAAAAGACAAAGATTAGGTTGATACTACAAAGCAAGTATGTTCACAGATCTTGGATAATATGTTTACAGATAATACTTTTTTTTTATTTCAAATATGAAGCAAGTATGTTCCAGTTTATACATAACTGATCTTCCTTTTAATGTTTGTTGAAAATATGCACATGGGTTTGGTCTGCACGTGCTACTATATAAGGAAGCTGTAGGAGTAGAAAGTACTCATGATTAGGTTTCTCTTGGTTTTACAAGATGGATCCAAATTCAACTTATATGCTGAAAGTATTCTAATTGCTTCCTTACCACCTTGGCCAAAGCTTGGAGAACACAAAACTAAGAAAACGGGGAAAGTGGCCAACTCTGAATCTCGAGGATAAAAAACATAACCTAAAATATGTTTGAAAATTGGTTCACAAGTAATGCATTGTTTCTATTATTTGTTTACTCTACTGCTGCCATGCATGCGTAGGATTGTCTCAAGTTAATTTGGGCCCATTTTCCATTGAAAGTGAGATGCTCAACTAGCAAACAATTGTTCCTGGGAAGGTAAATGCCAAAAGAAAAAGGAAAGAACTTGCTACAGAAATTGCAAACATTCATGTGGTGCTAAATCAACCTTGCGATGTGCACAAGAAGACGAAGATTTAACCCAGCCAGCCCTGCGTTGAGCACGAGAAGCAAAAGAAGGCTTAGCTTGTGATTATCTTGTTCATTATGTGTTTATTTCAAACTGTCCATGCGCGCTCAACCTATCATGTGAGCTTTTGCATACTGTTTATTCAAGATGCTTCTTTTGGAAACTATTTATATGCTCAGCTCATGATATGAGCTTGTGAGCTTTGGTGTTGTTTACGTGATGTATGTGACTTGGATGTGTCCTAATAGGGCTTGTGTATGTGATGTATGTCACCTGGTGGTACTCTATATGAAACTGGATGATATGATAGTTGTGGATGGTACTTGATGAGTTATGTGCCTATGTCAAAGAGTTTGTAGTCGTGTTGTCATGATATTACATGAATTGTGTGCATATATGAATTGTTGGCAGGGTATATGGCGATATTATTATTAAAATCCAATGATTTAACTCTACTTTTATCATATAATCTGCTCACATACTACACTAGGGATAAAACAGTCTTTTTAGGTCCGACTTAACACCGTTAATTTTCAAAACTGACGGAGATGTTACATATAGGGAACCAATTCAAGTTTGAGTGCTAAGAGCATCTACAGCCGGACTTGGCAAATCTGGCCCCACAAACGCCCGCGGGCGCGTCCGCAGGCACTGACCGGTCATAGCTCATATTTGGTGATATGCATCTGAACACCTCATTTTCACCCCCTAAATTTATACAAACCATTTAAAAAATTTCCTATGCAATATGTACCACACTATTCTAAACTAAGTTTCACCATCGGAGATGTCCACGACGTCCATGCCGGGCACCGGGTAGATGGGCGCGTAGGAGTGCTCCGGCTCCTCCTCATCATCATCATCCATAGCCGCGGGCATCTCATTGACGTTGACGGGGTGCTCCGCCTCCGCCTCCTGCAAACCATCCGCGGTGCGCTCTGTTTTGCTTCCGCCTCCGGCACATGATGCCGCTTGGCCTCCGCCGTCGATATCGGGCGGAGGGAATCAAGTATTGTTTGCTACTCCGCTTGCAGATCCGCGGCCCCAGCGTCCCCCACGTCCACCTCCTCCTCCCCTTCATCGTGCCGTCCTCGCCCTCTTCCTCCTCCTCCTCCCCCCCTTCATTGTCCTACTGCTCCTCCTCCTCCTTCGGATCTACCGCATTCAGAGGTAACCACGCTACTATCCAGGGCTCCGCGCCTTGCCATGACCTGCTCAGGCAGGCTTCAAACGCCTGGACTGACCGGCACCCCTCATATCCAATCCAAATTGGGGAAGGGTATGGGGGCGAAGGCCGCACCAAACCTATTTGGATCGCATTTTCATGACCGGTTAGTGACCGTGCTGTCAGCCCAGGTATTTCAGACGGGTTCAAGGGCGAAAAAGGAAAGTAAATATTAAGAAAGGGTCAAGGAAGGAATCGTCTCCATACACAGATGTGAACCGAAACAGACATTGCACTCACGCAGATGCTCCTATGTGTTATCCTACTCACCTTATCCGGTGCAGAGCGTAGTGGAACGCCCGTCCGTCACGTGTTCCGTTTTTTATATGACCAACGAGCCGCCGCCACCTGTGCTCCGCCGCAGCGCCGGCCATCCCACCCGCCCGCTGCTCGTCTCAAAACCGCGGTCTCCCTCGCTGCCTGCCCGTTCTGCCGTTTCCTGCAACCTATAAATCCAGCCGGAGAACCTCACCTGTCCATCCATCTCATCTCACTCACACTATTACTCATATAAGCTTCACTAGCTACTAAGTAGTTCACTTCCTTCCGAACCAAGCTCTCTTCCACGACACGAAGATGTCTACGGTGACCCGCGCCTACCACGACCAGAGGCTCGCCGCCGGCAGGGGCTGCTCCAAAGGTAACCAAATCGATATCTTGTCCCGCCGGTCCTCAAGGGCACATTGTAGCTTTCTGTGTCTCCGCTGAAAATTAATCGTAACTAAAATGTTTTTGTTGATCCGGAACTGCAGAGGCTGCCATGGCGGGTTCCAAGGCCGCGGCCGTCGCCATCGTCGCTGCCGTAGTGCCCACAGTAAGTACCATTCAGTTCTTCGAGGAAATCCTTGCACGGTTCATAGAATGTCTCATGGATGCGTTACCTATAACTTCAGCTGGCGAGCGTGAGGATGCTTCCGTGGGTCAAAGCACACCTCAATCCCACCGGCCAGGTGCTCGTCATCTCGACCGTTGCCGGGATGGCCTACTTCATCGTCGCCGACAAGACCATCCTTTCCATGGCAAGGAATAACTCCTTCGAGGACGCGCCGGACCACCTCAAGAACACCTCCTTCCAGTAATTAGGCCCTTGATTAGCCAGTGCCCACTAAACTGTGTACGCAGGCCCGTACGTGTCTTCTGAAACATAGTAGTATACTGTTCAGCGAGGCGATGGTTTGCAGTGCGAAAAGGTGGTGTAAAGCCCTTTTCTGCGAGCATGCCCTAATTACCTGATGATTTATGATGTATACCATAATAATGTGGCCATGTTGTCCAACAATAACAACTATAGTTTTGATTTTGTACAACTCTGGTCCAATTGCACTCGCTCATCTTACCTTTAACATGCATCAGTGCATTGCAAAAGACCCCCTACCCCTGCCCTGTTCTGCTCCGAAATGCACGTGAGCATCATGCCGCTTCAATCACACGTTAAATCTTCTGCTATGGTTTATTGGATGGGTTGTCAAATAAGTCTCAGTTCTTTTCAAGCTTATGGGAGGCTTATGGCGGAAATTAAGCTCAAGCCCAAAAAAACTCGTTTAGGTGCCATTAGCTTATGCCTACCGCGCCCTGTGCCTTGCACGGCGGGCACGCCGTGCCATGGCCTCATTGGACGATAGTGCGTCCCGAACATTGACACACCAACCAGGGGCGGATCCAGCGTGGGGTCGTGTCTGGGCGGTCGCCCCGGGTAAAATTTCTAACCCTAGGGTATCCCTACTGCTTTTTCTAATGGCCGCCATGGGAGGGGGAGAGCTCTCGTATAGATCTATAGGTTCAATCGAAAGAAGTTACGAGCAGGAAGACAGAAGATAACGATTCGCTTGTAAGTTGTAAGATGGGCCAATGACCAAGGCCCAACTAGACGGGACTATGTGAGCCTATGATTATCTGTAAAGTTTTGGCATTCCCAATTCTGTCGACAGGAAACCAAATCAGCAAACAATGTATCACGCGATCACCGCTCAACAAAAAGTATTGATGCCGCCTCGCCTATGTGACGCGGCGCCCTATGCTGCCGGTCCACAGCCTCGCCGTGGCACTGCCTAGGTCCTTCCCCGACCGATGGTGCTCGATGGAGAAAGAGGAATCCACTTGTTCGCGGAAGGCGGCAACGTCACCACCCCTTTAAAACTGCAAGCGCTGAGCCAATTGAGACAGCAAACAGCAAGTTCGTTCATTCTCCCCTAATCTTCTACTCTCATTCTTCCCTAATTTTCTGCTCTCATTCTCCTATATTTCTTTAATCTCTTGTTACGTTGGCCTAATTTTTCAAAGTTAAATGCTGATTTTTTTAGGGAAATTTAATTACATACCAAATTGGATGTTCTATATATGAGCATAAGAATTAGGCCATAAATGATTTGTTTGTCGCGTTATATATTTTTCTCCTCGAGAATAAAGCTACATTGCAATATTGGTTGTATTGATCGTCTTGCCTGGATCCATACTACCTAGCCCATTAATTTTGTTCATTGTCTTCTCTCATTGCACCGTGGCTTCAAAATTATGTTTTCTCTAAAAGTCCGTCCCGGGTAACTTCAAATCCTGGATCCGCCACTGGCACCAACGGAGAGATTGCACGTCCGCCAGCGCGTTTGGATGCCAGACGGACCGCACAGCCTCCGGTGAGGCAGCTACAGCTGGCCTAGCATCGGATCCATGCGTCATTTGGGCGGACGCAATGGATTCTCGATAGATGGAGTCCGAGCACAGTCGTGCACGGGCATCCCCTCAGGCGCAGCGGAGCGCAAGCCGGACGGTTATCTCCTCCTCGAGGCCGCGTGCGATAAGGTCGAGGTCGACGGATTTGGAGGTGAAGGACTTGGATCTGCTGCCCGTCATGCCGGAGACGAGCTTGGATGGCGGAGGGGAGTGGAGAATAGGTGAGTGAAGTGGCTAGGGTTTGGTCCGGCGAGTGGATAGGGAGGAATTTTTGTGGAGTCGGGTAGGCCGGCGTGGGCCGGGTCTGACGTGGCGGACGTAGGGCGCCTCGTATCCCCCCATATTTGGGCTGGATATGAGGTGCCGGTTAGCCCAGACGTTTGACGACCGTTTGAGGGGTCCGTCTGGATAAAAATCATGACCAGACAGAGACCGGATGGTCTGTCCAAACATATGAGACGGGTTTGAGGCGTCGGGTTGTAGATGCTCATAGGAGCGAAACCGGCGGCACCTGCTCTGCTCTGCTCTGTTTCGTTTCTTTTATCTTACACAAAGGACAAACGCCTCGTGTAGCAAAATTATCTATGTATTGTGATCAGATCAGCACTGTGGTGCCTAACTTTAAATGGATCGAGATCTCCCTTTTCTTGCTAGCTTTAGTTTGGTGGGTAAAGAAAGAAAGACGAGGGAGGGAGCAACAAACAAACATCGTCCAATCCTGTGGATTCCCATACCACAGTTTTGGATGCCGCTACCGGAAAGCGTGCTCTGCCCACCAACTCAGTTCTGCACTCCAAGTCCAAACGAGTACCCACGGTTTGCACCCAAAACCGTGCGTGGCCGCCACCTTTTTGCTCGCTATAAATACCCGGATCAACTCCTCGTCCTGGAAGCATCAAGCAACAGTCAGCCAGCCAACCAGCCCATCTCATCTCACTTGATCGCACCCTTTGTACTGAGCCGTTTCTGCACAAGATCACGGCGAGGATGTCGTCGACGGCCACCGTCACCCGCGCCCACCTCGAGAACAAGCTCGCCCTCGCCAGACGCTGCTCCAGAGGTAGTAACCAGGATCCACTTCTTCAGAGTTCAGTTCAGCCAAGTTGTGTACTGATAGTCTGACACTAGCAATGCATTTCTTTTTCTTAAATCTTTTCCAGAGGCGACGCTCGCCGGAGCAAAGGCGGCGGCCATCGCCACGGTCGCGTCTGCGGTCCCAACGGTGAGCTCCTCCGTCCGGGATTTGTTGATTTTCATGCACGTTGGTCTGGTTTTCATGACTGAACTGTTTATCGTGCAGCTGGCGAGCGTGCGGATGCTGCCGTGGGCCAAGGCGAACCTGAACCCCACCGGCCAGGCGCTCATTGTTTGCACCGTCGCCGGGATGGCCTACTTCGTCGCCGCCGACAAGACTATCCTCTCGCTGGCAAGGAAGCACTCGTACGAGAGCGCCCCGGACCACCTCAAGGACACCTCCTTCCATGGCGCCGCCGCCGCAACTCGTCCCCGTCCGCCGGCATTCTTCAGGCCTTGAGCTAGTATTATCCTGCTAATGTATGATAGCACGCGCTTGTCCGTTGCGCGTATTCTAGAAAAAATGTATGCATCCTTGTCAGTGTCCCAACGCAAGAAACTGCTGCGCCGGAATGTATTATGTATGCACATGCTTTACATCTGTGTACTGAATAAAACTGAGGGCTCGATCCTGGTTTCAGATAAGCCGTGTACGACAGACTTCATATCTCGACGAAGATGGAAACTGAGCTAGCAGTGAGGCCGTGACTTACAGCACAGAATTCAGGTGGCCCCACATGTTAATCCGAAACTGCAGAGGCTGCCATGGCCGGAGCCAAGGCCGCGGCAATCGCCACCGTCACTACCGTAAGTACCCAGCTAGCCATTCAGCTCTTCGAGGAAATCCCTCCAGAGTTCCTAGCATGTCTCATGAATGTACGTGATCCCTATTAACTTCAGCTGGCGAGCGTGAGGATGTTGCCGTGGGCCACCAGGGCGCACCTCAACCCGACCGGGCAGGCCCTCATCATATCCACCGTCGCCGGGATGGCCTACTTCATCGTCGCCGATAAGACCATCCTCTCCATGGCCAGGAAGCACTCCTTCGATGACGCACCTGACCACCTCAAGAACACCTCCTTCCACTAATTAGACTATAATAGATCCATTAGTAGTGTGCAATAAACTGCAAACACTTATCTGATTATGATGTTCAGCCAGCTGAGAAGCGACGACTTATCTGACTAGTAATGCGCACATGCAACACACGTTAATAGTTAGGCAATATATTAATTACACACAGATATTAGGTATGATATTATTTATATATTAATTATGTGATTAGTGCAATATTTGGTATGATATTAATTGCACGTTAAACCAGTGGTGGTGCCAGGATCAAAACCATGTGATGTCAAGCTTCACTAATAAAAAAAATTAGATCATAAACAGGAATAAAAACATCATACTTTATTACAAACCGTCTATGGCAGTAGTGCTTTGTGGCGATGCATACATTGACATGTATATGCATAATAGCATCAATACTAATAGACTAGAATACATCAGTTTCAACATAAGTTATGAGACAATGGTACAAGAAATCATCACCTATTCTATTGCGCCAATCAGACTTGATATATTTCATTGCGGAAAATGCTCTCTCAACTGTTGCCGTCACCACCGGCAAGATCAATGCTAGCTTTACCAAAAAGAATACTAGAGGAAAGGTATTGTACTTCTTTGTCTCAACGAGTTTTCTGCAAAGATCACTAACCCCTTTCAAATTGGAGTCTTGAATCATCATGAACATTTTCAAGGAAGTTATCAAGTTGGACACTAAGATCTTCAATCTTGCTTTCACTCCCAAAATCTTCTGGATACAAACGAGCCATTGCTAACACTTTTTCTTTGTCAAAATTAGCAAACGAATCAGAAGGATCCAAAGAAGCCATCCCAAGAAGCAAGGTTGTGTTGCTTTCACTAAAGCGGTCATCAATCTCTACATGTAACATATCAATAACGGTGTACATCAGACTTTGGTAGCAATTCTTATTTGATATGCCATCAGTCTGAGCCTTCCGCTTTGATTTCGATCCTCGGGGTATATGCATAGCATCCATGTGAAAAAGTCCAATATCTTGTTCAATGCAAAAATCAGTAACCTTTTTAATCATACCTTCCCAACGTTGGTTTCTCATGTCATGTAGCCTTCTTTTGGTTGTGTGAATATATGACACGGCATTCACAATGTCCTGATCCTTCCTTCGCAAAGCAACACTTAGATAATTAGTAATCCCAAGTATAGCCTTCATCAAGTGCATCATGAAAACAAAGTCAAATGTTTGAATAGCATCCAGAACACCTTGCTTTAATCCTATCAAGAGATTTCCTGGCGTTTTGTGCATTATCATCAACAACTTCAATTACCGAGGGGGACATAACAATCATATTCAAGAGAGAGCTGAAATGAGACCCCCAACGAGTATCCCCAGCTCGTTTAAGTCCAAGTTCTTGATTCAAACCTCTACCAGTTTCAAGTTCTCCATTCTGCAGTGTCGTCTGGACTCTTTTTGCTTGTTTCTCTCTAAGCATATCTTTGTTCTTAAAAGAATTTCCCACTGTGGAGAGAAGAACACTCATCCACTCAAAAATCCATACCACATCTTCATGGTTTTTTACAACTGCAACTAGTGTTAGCTGAAGTTGATGAGCAAAACAATGAATGCTATGAGCAGACCTAGAATCTCCCATTACTAAAGTTTTCAAACCATTCAAATGCCCTTGCATATTACTACCTCCATCATAGCCTTGGCCACGAATTCAAGAAGGGCTAAGGTTATGTTTTTTAAGCAATGCATAAATAGCTTGTTAGAGAGCAAGAGAAGTTGTTTGAGTAACATGAGAAAGGCCAATAACACGCTCCAATGAAAATCCCCAATTGTCAATGTATCTTGTAGCAAGAGCCATTTGTTCCTTGTGAGATACATCACGAGATTCATCAACCAATATAGCAAAGTATTCATCTCCCAGATCTTCTATGATTGCCTTCACAGTTTCTATAGCACAAGCTTTCACAATATCTTTCTGGGTAGTAGAAGAAACTAACTTTAAATTCTGAGGAGCATTCCTCAAAGCAACAGCAGCCACATCAGGACAACGTGCAACATACCACTCATAAAAAGTTAGAAAATTCCCCTTCCTCAAAGAAGACTCGCTTTCATCATGACCTCGAAATGGCAAGCTCAAAACAAGAAGCAACCTTGCAATATCTATTGACGCAATTAGCTGAGTTTGGTACTCTATATTGGATTTCTTTGTTTTCTGTCAAAGACAACTCCAATGGATTGCTTCTAGTTCATTAGATCATCCCATCTCTCCATGTTCTGATTATGAGTACTTGAAGGACCCCCGACATGAATATCCAATCTCTTTACATTATTCCAACTTTTCCACCCCTTTGTTGAAAATTCATCTCCACCACCACGGCCTAGACTTTCATTCTGAAACATATAGCAACTAAATCTGAGAATGGTTTCATACTTAAACCATACTCGTACATGTATCTCTCAAAACCATACTTGAATCAATACCCGTTTAATGCCATTTTCAGCCCAACCAAAACTAAACCCTCTATTTTTTTCCACCCAAACCAATTTAAACCCAATACATAATTATGGGTTTAAACCCAATACATAACTATGGGTTTGCTTCAATGTATATATGATTACACAAATCGACATGTTAAGAAGCAAATGACATAGAAAAGGCATAAGTGCATCTACAACAATTTAGGAATAAAGTTATCGTTGAGATACGGTCAACACACAGCAAGAGTAAAAAAAACAATGCCCACAACTAAAAAGCTCACTGACAAGTGTATTAAAACCAATTGCTTAGCTAAAGCACAAGCAAACACATTCGATTTGCATGTGGTGTTTCCCCATAATACAGAATTACATAGTGCATTGTAGCATTTACAAGGATCAAAGGTACTTGTTGTCGATGCGTCCTTGCTTATTGCACATAACACTAGTAGAAAAAGGGTCAAACGTGAAGCACAATAGTGCCGGTTTGAATTTCAGTCGGCACTAATGTGTACAATAGCACCGGTTCGTGGCGGCGATCAATAGCACCGGTTCATGGCGAACCTTTAGTACCGGTTCATGCCACGAACCGGTACTAGAGGCTGTGTCAGCCTGCGGTCAGGCTATGGCCCCACCATCACCATTTAGTGCCGGTTCGTACCATGAACCGGTACTAATGAGGTTATGGTAAGCTGTTTTTAGTCCCACCTCGCCAAGAGAGAGGGACTAGGAGCGGTTTATAAGCCCTGAGTGCAGAGACGATGAAGAAGAGGCTCAATGCTCACATTGCTTAGCTTCAAGCCTTCAGGAATATAGTAGATTGCACGAAGCTATGCGCAGTGCAGTTCACACTATTTCGAAAAGCTTGAAGCAAATTAACGAGCATTGCAACTCTTTTTTATTTTTAATAACTTATTACAACTCCGGACTTCTTCTGTTATGGCAAAAACTAATTGCACGTCGGCATTTCTTTTTTTTAAACTTTGGTTATAACTCCAGAATTTGACCATCAAGTTTTGCAGAAAAGAAAAAATAGCAGAAAATAAAAAAAAACTATAGTTGAAAAGAAAAAACTATATAAAAAAACTACTCAGAAATAAATAGAAGAAAATAAATATAGCAGAAAAGAAAAAACTACTCAGAAATAAATAGAAGCAAATTAACGATCATTGCACCTCTTTTTTATTTTTAATAACTTATTACAACTCTGGACTTCTTCTGTTATGGAAAAAACTAATTGCACGTCGGCATTTCTTTTTTTTTTAACTTTGGTTATAATCCAGACTTTGACCATCAAGTTTTGCAGAAAAGAAAAAATAGCAGAAAAGAAGAAAAAAAACTATAGCTGAAAAGAAAAAACTATATAAAAAAACTACTCAGAAATAAATAGAAGAAAATAAATATAGCAGAAAAGAAAAAACTACTCAGAAATAAATAGAAGAAAAAATAAAGCATAAAAGAATTTTTTTTTGCTATTTTTCAATCGTTCATAAAATGACCGTGAAACTGAAAATCACTACAAAATGAACTCTGAAAATGTTGAATTTTGGCAAACTAGATGAATAAAACTACTCACAAATAAATAGAAGAAAATAAATATAAAAGAAAAGTAAAAACTATACAAAAAACTACGCAGAAATAAATAGAAGAAAATAAAGCAGAAAAGAAAAAAACTATATTTGCTATTTTTCAATCGTTCACAAAATGACCGTGAAATTGAAAATCATTACAAAATGAACTCTGGAAATGTTGAATTTTGGCAAACTAAATAAATAAAACTACTCACAAATAAATAGAACAAAATAAATATGACAGAAAAGTAAAAACTATACAAAAAACTACGCAGAAATAAATAGAAGAAAATAAAGCAGAAAAGAAAAAAACTATAAAAAAATTGGGGCGCTGGCCTGTGGGCCTGATAGGCCATAGGCGT